GGTATGTCCTGTGTTTTTCTTGTATCCTACTTCGAAATGTTGTATTGTTCTTGGGAGAGTGCCATATTATATTTCTCATATTGGTCTTCAATTGCAGATATGGCCTCCCAAGATGGTAAAAGATGCAGGATCTCAGCTTCATGCACAGTTAAGGGAAGTGATTTTGCAGGTCAGTTTATCTTTTCGCCCAATTATTGTTCCAGATTATTCATTTTTTTTTTCTTCTTGAAAGAGGTTAAAATCTTAAAAGTATTACCTTTGAAGATTTCCCTAAATTCATACATCTCAGTGAGAGCATATGATATTCCCATTTATATGGCAATATCGTATTGTCAGAGTTTGCATTGACTACTGAACAGTATAACATGGCCTGAAAGGATTACTGGTTTAGATGGATTTTAACTTTCTCTTTTTTGTATGGCAGACTGGTCTTGAGAAGAATTTATTTGGGAACCATCCAGTTTCTCGATCCACCGAATCTCGTAGCCCACCTCCTGCATTTGCTTCAGATACATTAATTAATATATCATCATCTTCTCGTACACAAGAAGGGAATAACCTTCCTGATGGTTATTCAGTAGCTGGAAATGGAGAATATTCCAAGCCCACTGTTTCGGAGATAGTTGAGATAGATGTTCCTGCTTCTGCTGCGAATTACATGAAAGGTTCAAGCCCTGGAGTAAGAGATTCTTCTAAAAACTTGGGTTTTTTTCCAAGGAAACTAGTTGCAGTTTCTATTTTCGCCTCTATGATTTGTCACAATTGCTCTAACTCTTAATTGATGCTGTATATAGCTTGCTGCTGCTGCTGCACGGAAAGGTGTACCCACTGTGGACAGGCAGAACTCCGAGACTTTATATTATGCGGACGATGAAGACGGTAATCGTAAAAAGTACTCAAGAAGAGGTGGGAGAAAATCTATCTTTCTTACCTCTCTTGTCTGAAATAACATATGCTTTTTTGCTTTATTACAAGACTTACGTGAGGATACGTGTTGTTTTCCATTTTTTTGGTATCTCCTTCAAAGCTGCATGTGTCTGCCTTCCAATGAACAAACTCCACGTCTGCTATCATGATAGTGACTGAGACTGATTCCTCTTTTTTTCATGTAAGGTCCTCTCCGTCACAAGTTTCTGCGGGCTTTACTGCCTTTCTGGTCAAGTGCATTACCAACTCTACCCGTGACTGCACCACCTCGTAAAGATGCAACAAAGGCAGAAGATGGTACGGACGGCCGTGTAAGACATCAACGATCATCAAGAACGGATATAAGGAAAATACTCCTTCTCATAGCGATCATGTGAGACTTTTTTTTTACGGTTATCCAACTGCTTTTCATATGTCAAATGTTTGTTGCAGAATCGGTTAGTATGTTATTAACTGTGGGCTAATTGTTAAGTCTGTGTAACTGATGTGCAGAGCGTGTATGGCAACAATGGGGATTTTATACTACAGGCTTGCACAGAAGGTAATTGGCCAAGAAATACCCGATGAGGAGCAGCGATGAGGTAATTTCTTACCACACAGGGGGATAAGACTTGCTCAACATATATCAAATCAATTTGCCCTGCTCTAATATCCTTTTTGGACAACGAGGAAATGTTTATTACAAGTTGATTTGGAGAATTGTGTCTGCGGTTCTTTGTGATGGTGTTTTCCTTGTTTTATCGCGGGTCAAAATATATTGATTGTCGTCAGTTTGTGTTTCAATTGACATGTTTTAGTTTGTAGCTATCGTTTTTGGTAGACGAAAATGCATTTTATAAACGCTTAGCATTTTCTTTTTGTCTTCAATGTTGAGAACATTCTCTGACCTCTATCTAATCTATAGAGTAGTCTCCCTAGTAGACTCGTCATCGTTGTGGTGATTTAAATACCTTGTCCGATTTGGGGTTAAATCAGGGTTAGAATCTGCGTTTTTGTAGCCTTGTGATTTACATAGGGAAGTCACTACTTGGATTGATCAATTTCGAATAGGGAAAAGAAATTTATAAAGAAAAAAATTAACAGAAAGCTAAAAAATTAAGTAAAACACCAATAATTATGTTATCCTTTAATGTTACCAATTCTCTTTATTTCTTCTCTTCTCAACGGTGTCTCCTCATGCATCCCTTCAGCGTCACTCTTTCAGTCATCCATTTCCAACATATGTATGGTGATCTCATTGAAATAGTATTTCAAATACATTAGTTTTGTGTTTTTTTTGTTTCTTATCGACGTTACCATTCTCGATGATGAATCAAATCTCTTTACCACCGTCAGTGATATAAGTTGAATCTCTTATTATGTTGATGTTGTTGATTATATGACTACAAATATCCGTCGCCGGTGTTTATAACGAGATTATGATAATGCATATCAAACATGGAATTGTGTAGAAAAATGGTAACAAACTAACAATGGTGGGATCTCTCTTTAGATCTAAATGGATTTTATGAACAAAGTGAATTATTGGGTTAAATGGTGGAAATACTAACGTGAATCTACCCATTATATGGTCTTGTATTTTAATTTATCAAGTTACAATATAGTATATAACTCATTATTTAATAAGTTATACTACTAGATTAAGAATCCGCAAATATGCGGGTTTGTCATATAATATTTTCTAACCGATAGAAAATGAAATCAATCAAAATTTACTGGTTTTCAAATTATTAGTTTTCCTATTCTATTTGAATTGGTATTACCTTTTAATCTATTTTAAAAAAATATTGTTGAATTAATTCTGATATTTTAGTTGTATTATTTAATATTTTATAACTGGTCAAAAACACAAAAATAGAAAACAAAATCAGATCATCCGTGAAAATAAATAACATAAGATTGAAGACGTCGTTGCAAAAACAAAATTTACGTCAAGGTTAAGCCACCCATAGCGAAGTCTACAAATAGTTTATTTATTTTGATTCTCCTACTTTTTTATGTTATTTGGATTTTCAATTAAATTTTCTAACATATTTCTTAAAATTAGTTTTTTATTTTTATTGGAATTAGGTTTATTTTTATTATGTAACTACTCATGTATGTATTAAAAAAAAATCTTAACAAATCGATTTACGTATTTTTATTTGAATTAGACTTATTCATGTTTTTTAATCATTTGACTTTTCTATTTTTCTTGTGAATCCAGTATTATCTTTTTCTAATGAAAAAGAATTATACGTATTTCTTATTTAACTGGTCTAATGTTAAATAATCGATGTACTATATTTCGACGATAAAC